GCATCAATGCCAAGATCCGTGCCGTGAAGGCCGACCGTACAGGAATACCCCGCTCCTGCAATTGAGCGGCGGTCCTCCTCCCGCCCTGCGGAACGGTGGCAATGAGTGCAGACTTGTCCGAAAGCTTAAGACGGAATTGCTTGGCGAGGTCGGCAAGAGTGACCGTGGCGTGAAGGATCTCTGTTTGGACCTTGGCCTGCGTGCCCTCTGCTCGGGCAACCGCGTCGCCGATGAATGTCCAGAAGGTGCTGAAACTCGCTCTGCGATGTGCCGCCTCCATCAATGGATGTAAAAACAACTTGGCAATCCTTACCCCATGCGGGGATCCTGCAACGAGTGACCTGGCGGCGTAGATGGCGTCTGCAACGCCAAGAGAGCCGCGCAAGAACCGCGGCCCAGCACACATCTCCAGCTCCAGTAGCACCACAATCGCTGGGAACTTGAGATCGAGTGCAGCCTGGCCGATGAGGATCCAGGATAACGAGTCGTAGAACTTCTCGAAGTCCAGGAGCAGGGTCGCCGCCGAGATGCCAAGCGCCACTGCGGATTCATCGAGCAGCGCTCGCAAGAGACCTGCTCGAAGCGAGCTGCTGCCCGCCACTGCAGTGTCCCAGAAATCAGAGAGCTCCTTAGCCCATGTGGACGTGACGCCTGCTCTCACGCGGGACCAAATCTTCGCCGTCTCTGGAAGTAATCCAATGACCCTCTCCCCTCCTTTGGGTTTGGGTAATAATGCTCCAATAGATGCCAAGATCTGAGCAGGCCACACTTCATGTTCTTCAATGCTGTTGAGAAGCCTGCAGTAATCACACCGACCTTCGAGTGGAAGTCGCTGGATGTCCAGAGGTGTGATGGAGTCAACTCCGCATGCCCTGGTGCCTAAAACCCTGATAACATTGTCCACCTGCTCGACGCTGACGGGATCCAGCTCCTCCTCGCGGCTCTGCGCGTGCAGGCGCTTGAACGTGGCGAGTACGTCGGCCTGAGAGTCGACTGGGTCGTGCCAGAGTCTCTCCCAGGTGGGTCTGGTGCGTTCCATTCTGACCGTTGGGTCTCCAACGACTCGCCCATCCACTAAGGGGTCGGCAGAGACCGCCTTAGGTTCCTTCACCAATGAGTGGAGCAGGCCTGGCTTAGATGTCCAAACTCCCTTGGCCCAACGGATGAACGAATGCCGCCTCAAGGTCAAGCATCTTGCCTGAGAACGACAGGCCAGCTTCTCGGTTAAGTAGGCAAAATCGTCGCGCTCCATCTCAGTGGCGCTAGCGACTGCGCGCGACCAAGAAATCCACCGCTGCTGATAGCGGTGCCCTCAGAGCCTGGACCAAAGAAATCAAATGGGTCGAAGCTGCTAGCGTCGTTGGTGTAGCGACCAACAGCTGCGGTACAAATAGATATCTGGCGAGGATCCTTGCCATGTCGTAGAAGAGCCATGGTTCTTTGAACCAAGGTGAGAACCGTTCCCCACCATTCTCCAGCTCCATCAGTCATATGCACTCGCCCTGGGGTAGCTTTGGTCTGCATCCATCGCAAAGAAAATCCAGCTGCGCGTGGAGCCCGCTGTCGAAGGTTGAGCTGATGATGAAGTGCGTAAGCACGTTCCACTCCTGAGGACCACCGCGCGTACTGCCTGGTGACGGCACCAAGGCCAAGTGCGTTGATTTGGCCCAACAACTCAGACTCGACCACGCTGCAACATTGAGAGCTGAGCCCCTCCTTGGAGGGCTGCTCTTCCCACAGGTCTGAAGGTATGTGAAAAGAGACCTGGGACTCAGGGTCCAAAGTGCTCCTTGAAGGGTGTAGTGCGTCGTAGTCTTCCAGCAGATCGGGTGGTACGCGTGCCCGTTCTTGCTCTTGCCGTTGGGCTCGAAGTATAGACCTCTTGCTTCTGGGGCCCGAAGCGAGCTTGGGTCTGGCTACCTTTGGAAACGGTTCAGGTAACAAAAGTTTCTGGTACCACCATCTGCGCATGCCATCGTGGACGTCAACCTGCAGTGCACAGTGCGTCTTCCACGGGACCTGAGGCTGCGCCCGAACTCGGTATCTGGAAGATGTTCCGTTCTTGGCCATTGCGAAATCAATGAGAGAGCCCTCCTGCCCTTTGTCGCACGTGGTGCTGACGTCAGCGGGTAGAATGAGTGTGCCCCCAATTTTTTTCAGGCCAACCAGATCCTTCCAAGGAAGTTGGTGAAATATTCCAGTCACCGATAACCAAACAAGGGTCTGCAAGCCCATGAAGGAAAGAAGCTAACGCAACCAGCACTTGGCGATTTCTGCCAGAAACTCCCAATCCTGGCCAAAGATAAACTGATACCAAGACCAGGTTGCCCGAGGACAAGTGCAAGATCATGGCGGCGAACCCGCGCATAGGATCAGGTTGACGTGCAGCTTGTGCATATTGCCGAATGGCCTGCAGCGAGGTGGTAGCCAGATGCTTCTTGGCCATGACCCATTCACCGCCAGAAGAGCCTCCTCGTCCTGTTGGTGTGCTCCCTGTGGCGCAGACCTTCCAACCGTCTTTGTCCAGTTCGATCTCCGTCTTGGAGTGGAACGCGGCGGCGGTGACATGAGTCTCCACCAGACAAAACACAGAGTAAGGGGCTGTGTTGACATAACGCTGCGCTTGAGGCCCCCACTCAGTGATGTTACCGTAAAGGATCGAAAAATCTTTCTCGTCGGATGTGAGCTTGGAGGGGGCTGGAGCGGCCAAAGCCTGCGCTGCTGGTGCGCTGAGGTCAGCCTCAAGGTACGTAGGGCCGCTGCTGGAGGCAGCCTGGTCCGCCCTAGCCTCAGAAGGCCTGGCGGTGACGCCAGGTGGCGAAGGGCCAACCTCCGCCTCGAACGGCGAGTCCTGGTGGGAACGCTCGTTGACCTCCTCCAGCTCCAGCTCCTCGAACGGATCCAGCTCGGCGGCGTACAGGTGCGCCGTCGTGCAGGAAGGGACAGAGGCCTGCGGCCCCGTAGATGCGCGAGGCGCAGCCCTCGGGGGAGGGCTGTCATTAAGGGCAGCATACGCCAGCCCGCCAAGCGCACCCGTCAGCGAGGCTTGACCCGATGCGCCCGAAGAAGTGCGAGTAGCCGAAATCCTCGCACTCGGGGATGGCGAAGCTCCGCGCGACGCAGAACGCGACGAACGTCTCGCCTGCGGTGCCCGTGACGCCGAGCCAGGAGCCGCAGTCGGCGAACTGCTCACCTCCAACGGTGCTGTAGTTGTCTCGCTTCCAAAAGCGCGCCCCTCATCCGAGTCGAGGAAGAAATCGACTGGGTAGGGCCAGGGGCGCCCGCCGTAACAGCATGCCGACAAAACTCGGCGCGGCGCCCCTCGATCTGCGTTAGGCTGTGGGCGGGGCCCCTGATGCTGCAGGGGAGGGGACGGTGCCAGGAGCGCCAGGAGCGGCCTCTGCGGAGGTGGAAGCGGCCTCCTGCTGAGCGTAGAGCTCGTCCTGGGCCGACTTGGCCTTGGCTCTGGCAGCAGCGCGCATGGCCTCGGCCCCAGCTGGAGCACCTGCTGCCGCAGCGGCGCCAGCAGGCCCAGCCCCGTCAGTTGCAGAAGCAGCAGCGGGGCCAGCAGCAGAGCCAGCCGCATCGCTGCCGTCCACGCGCCTGCGCTTGGCCTCCTCCCTGGCACGCAGCTTGCGAGCCTCCTCACGAAGCTCCAGGATGCGCTGCGCCGAGGGTCCGAGGACTTCCTGGACCTTGGTCTGGACGCTGTCGGCCAGCTCCTGCTTGATGCGCTCCCAGTCCACGCGCGCCTGCTCGTCGAGCTCCAGGCCCGAGAGGTCGAACAGCGGCCCGTCCACGATCTGAAGCGAGCCCTCGTCGACGAGCGTCGAAAGGTTGATCGCCGAAGAAGAGGGTGGCGCCGCTGACGGCGGCGCCGAGGCCTTGACCTGCTTGGCGCAGGCCGCCTCCCAGTCCTGCTGCGCCGCATGAGCGCTGGCGGCCGCCTCGTCCTCTGCGGCCTGGGCGTCAGCAAGCCACTGCTGGCCCTCCAGAACGCGGGCCGAGCAGGTCTCAAGCCATGCCAGCGCCCTCCTGCAAGCCACGCCTTTGGCCCGCACTTCCTCCTCAAGGAGTGGCGCCTTCTGCGGGGCACCCGCGCCTGCAGCAGCTGCCTGTGCCTCCTTCTTGGCCTGCACCGCCGCCTTGAGCTTGAGAAGCTCGTCGCAGTCCGAGCCAAGCTCCTTCTCGAAGAACTCGAAGGGGTCAGCGACCTGGGCAGGCTGCTGCTGCTGCTGCTGCTGCCCCTCACGGCCACCATGAGGCACCCAGCCCGCCTGCTGGTAGACCCATGGCCGACGCTGGACGGCCTGGGCCTTCGGCGCGGGCCGGGGCAAAGGTGGTCCCTTGGCGCCCTTGCCTCCTGCTTGAGCCCAGGGAGGAGCCGCAGGGGCCTCTGCCGCAGGCTCTGCCTCGGGAGGAGGCGTTGCGACCGCCTGCGGCGGGCCCCAAACCCACTGGCCGCGGGGACGCTTGTCCTCCGAAGGGCTCGGCACCATGGCGCCTCCGCACTGGTAGCACCAGTGGTTGTTCTTGAAGTTCCAGCGGAATCTGCAGGAAGTGCATGTGATGTACATCGTCTTGGCCCCTGCCGCTGGAGCCGAGCGACCGCCGCCCTTCTTGCCGCCGCCTCCCATGGCTGATGCGAGGAAGGCTGCTCTCCCAGTGAAGGGGGCAGGCGATGGACTGGGGCGGACCAGCCCTCGCAAAGAGGATGTCGGGCGCAAGCACCCTGGCACTGCCGCGGACTAGCGGTATCCAGTTCAGCCAATGCGGGCTCCGCCCGCACGAAAGGCATCTTGAGCCAAAATGGCTACGGAACGGAAGGAGGAGGAGGAGGAGGAGGAGGAGGAGGAGGAGGAGGAGGAGCAGGAGGAGGAGGAGGAGGAGGAGCAATGCGAAGGCGCAGGAGGAGGGGCAGAGTGGTGGAGGGGGGCGGATGAGGGCGCAGGAGGGGGGGGGACTGAGAAGTGCGGAAGGGAGACGGAGAGAGGAGTGAGGACAGCAGCGGTGAGGACCCGGAGGCCGGCGGAGCTGCGGCCGCGGGGAGCACCCCCCGCCCTCCCTCTCGGCCCGACGCCCCCCCCCCTCCCCCGTGCCGCTCCGGCGCCGCGGCCCCCGCGCCGCTCTGGCGCCCCTCGGCCCCGCGCCGCTCCAGCGCCCCTCGGCCCCGCGCCGCTCCGGCGCCGCTCGACCCGGCGCTGCTCCGGCGCCGACGCGGCCCCGCGCGCAGGGCCCGCCGCAGAACCGCCGCGCCCGCGCCGCCGCAGCGCCGCGGAAGTGCCTGGACGGCCCGCGGCGCGCAGGGCGCGCCACGCGCAGGGCGCGCCACGCGCGAGGCGCGGCTTCGGCCCGGACGGCGCCGAAGCCGCCCTCTGCGCGGCGGCCGCCCTCCGGGGCCCGGGGGAGGGGCCGCGCCGCGCCAGGCTCTACGCCGCGCCGCTGGCCTGGATGCGGAAGTTGGGCGTGCCCTTCTGCAGCGTGCCGTCCTCGGGGGGGAGGGGATGAGGGGCAACGACAGGGGGGGATAAGGATAATGGGGGGAGCGTCGACCTCAGGTCGACGCTCCCCCCACTACCAGGGCGTCGACCTCAGGGCGAGATAGGGAATGGGCGATGCATCGCCGATAGATCGGCGATAGGCCTCCCATGGTGAATCCGCACCTTCCTGGGCGGGTTGGGGCTATCGGGCCCCTATCGGCGATCAATGGGCGTTTGGGGGTCGATGCATCCCCCCTTCTGCCTGACCCCCCCCTGTCGTTGCCCCCGATCGGGGGGGGAGGGGAAGCGGCGAGGGCATCGCCTCTGGGGGGGCCGCGCGGAGTGCTCGGGTCGGCGCTGGAGCTCCCTGGCGCGGGCCCCTGGCGCGGGCAGCTGGCGCGCAGCGCCGACCCAAGAGGAGGGCGCGGGCCGAAAGCTCCCCCGACACGCCTCGCACACCACGTGCACCGCGGCCGAAAAGACGACTGCATACCTCGGCCGCCAGGCCCAAAGTGTGCCGCCGCTGCCTGGGCATCCCGCCTCGCGTCCTCGGGTGGGGAACGCCCGGAGCAAAACTGTGATGCACGCTGCTGTTTCTCGAGCGCCCTTCTGCAGCGCTCCGTCCTGGAAGGCCTCGTGGAGGTGGCGGATGCTGTCGAAGACAAACTCCGGCTGGATGGCACACGCGGCCAGCCCGCGCAGCGTGGAGGTGCCGCTCAGCACCAGCGCGGCGTCGATGCCGTTCTCGACGGCCATGCGCAGGTCGGTGTCGATGGAGTCCCCGACGATCGGAGGAGGCCCCGTCGAGAAAACAGCGGCCCTCCCTGGCGTTGCTCGTCCTCCCTGGGGCCTCGCGGGGGCTTCTCGACAGCACGGCTGCATCCGCCTCGAAGAGAGGGCCAGGATGGATCGCGAGAGGGGCCCAGGTGCGGGTCTTAAGCGGCTTAAGCGGATTGGGCCAGGCGGGAGGGCCACCGTTGTCTCCCCTGACCCTCCTCCGAGACGAACAGCACGTCGCTGGGATCGATCTGCCCGTGCACGAAACTGCGCTGGGACTCGGACAGCGGCTGCAGGATCGAGTCCACCATCTGACTCTGAGCCCTCCTCGTGGCGCGCCCAGGGGCATGGAACAAATGGGCACAATGCCGAAGAGCAAATGTTGTCCACATCGGATAGCGGCCGCTGTTGGGCAGGCGACCTTTCGCCTCAAATGGACGTCCGCGACGACACCGACAGCGATCCCTGCTCAAAACGTATAAGAACTGCTGTCGATCGACGTCCCCATTCTTTCCACACCCGCTTCGATCGTACCGATCCGCAGCATGTACGGGTTGGGCTTGCCCAGGTTGTAGGCCCGGCAGCCAGTGACCTGCGTGAGCAGGTTCACCGTTGGCATTGGGCACCCAAACTTGTAATCGCCCGCGGCGGTCACCTCGAACCAGTCCGGGTTCGAGTACACAAGCTTGGCGCCATTCCTCGGGGGCGCGCAAACATGGACTAGCGATCCATGGATTTAGCGCGCGGTCGCCAAATCCATGGATCGGGGGAGGTGCCCTCCCCAAAATGCGGCCGGTGCCGCCTCGGTCGGCGGCGGAAATCCGCGATTTCCCATGGAAACGGGACTCGTCGCTAATACACGCCCCCTTGATCCATGTTTGCGACCGCCTGAATTCCAATGCACAAACAAGAATCATTGGAGCTCCGCGCGGACTTCTTGCATCGGCGCTGGACCCCCCTCCTAGCAGGCGGAGCGCGCCAGGGGCGATGCCAGAGGCAACGCCATTGGGGTCCAGCGCCGATGCAGGAAATCTTCCTCCCACTCCTCCTCCTCCTCCTCCTCCTCCTCCTCCTCCTCCTCCTCCTCCTCCTCCTCCTCCTCCTCCTCCTCCTCCTCCTCCTCCTCCTCACCCTCCTCGCGGACCGCCGAAAGTCTGTGCTGATGCAGCTCGTTGCTCCTCCCCGAGCTCCGCAGGTGCGTGCAGGCCGCCTCTGCGAAGGTCCAGCTGTCGTTTGGGCCGCCGGTGGCCACGGTCCTGGGGATACCAGATGCCTGGGATCAGGTCGGGCGTGTCCCCCTGCAGGCGGGTCTTGGAAGAGAATGGAAGATAGTCGAACCATACCCAGAAATAGATCCCCCTACGGGCGAACAATATATTCACACGAACCACAAAAAAACGTGCCCATATTATGTTTTTACCATTCTTGCTTGTTCCTCCTGTAGAGGGACGTGCCCGACTTGAACCTGGGATGCATTCTGGCCAAAACTTCGAGAAGAATCCAGCGCTGGCGACGAGGGCCTCCCACGAGACCCGAAAATGCCAAAACGAAGGCAAGGGTAGGGGTATCGGCCCCGTTTCTGCGGCCTCTCGGGGCGATCCGGGCACCCCCGGAACGCTCTCGGCTGAACGTCCCTGCTGCTGGCCTTCCCGAGGCTGGGAAACCGCCGAGAACCGACGAACGCGTCCGAAAGCCTCGGACCTCGAAAGACAGCAGCATCGGTCCTGCCCCACTGGCCGATGTACCCCCCTGGATGGGGATAGAGGCGGTCCCCTTCGGATTTCGAGGGGAATTCGCCGGCCCAACGGGCCAGAGGCGTGCTAAGATCTCCAGTAACTGGTTAACAGTATTTCTAGTTCGCGCGCGCGGGGCGGCCCCTGGGGGTCCCCCGGCGAAAAGTATCCCGACCGCAGCCCGACCAAGTCTACCCTGAGATGGTTTTGAGGGCCTTTTTTCGACACCCCTCACAAGGATCGTGGCCTCCGAGGGGGGTGCACTCGACTACCCCGCCCCAAGAGGCCCCCAAGAGCCTCCCAAGAGGCCCAAGGGGGCCCCAAGACGCCGCCAAGCAGCCCCAGTCGAAAGTGAGCCTGGTAACTCAAATAGGGCATATAGCCTGTCATATAGCATCCGATTCCAAGGCGCTGACCGTGGACATCGGATGGCAAATAGCGTCCATCGCTCTGCTGTAGCTGTGAAGGTACAGTATGAGGGGTGGGCGGATAAGATAGGATAAGATCGATGTAATGATCTTTCCAGCACATAGCGAACACTCGCGGTGTCCGGGCAAATAGGGCGCGCGTGCCTTGAGCCCAAGGCAGCGGCGCGCGAGCTATGCTCCCGATACTGTAACATCTCCCAAAGAGCTACCCTTAGTGCCCCAAGAGACCCCCAAGAGGCCCGCAAGAGGCCCCTAGGAGGTCCCAAAGAGGCCCCAAAGAGGCTTCAAAGAGGCCCCATAGAGCGCTCGAGGGCCGGCGGAATGAGCGAAGCGATTAAATAATCCCCAACTGCGGTGGTGGGAAGGCGGGGATCGGGATGGGAAGGGGGGTGACTGGTTAAACGATACGGTGGAGGCCAGTCCACAAGAAACCTGCCACAAGAAACCCTGAGACCCCAGGACGTGCATGCATTTTTGTCCTGCGGGAACGTCACGCTTTCCACGGCAAGACCATCGAAACCCAAGAGAAACCCAGGGCACCCTGGAGGCAAGCAGGGTGGTTCTTGGCATGGGTTTCCATTGTACCGACCCCCTCTCACATACCCCTGGTGGTGGGCTAGTTTTCCACCGCCACCACCACAAGTAATTAGAAGGGGAAGGGGGTCCTCCTCCTCCTCCTCCTTCCTCCTTCCTCCTTCCTCCTTCCTCCTTCCTCCTTCCTCCTTCCTTCCTTTCTCCTTCCTCCTTCCTCCTTCCTCCTTCCTCCTTCCTCCTCCTCCTCCTCCTTCCTCCTCCTCCTCCTCCCTCCTCCTCCTCCTCCTCCTCCTCCTCCTTCCCCCCTCCAACTTGTGGTGGTGGTGGTGGAAAACAGGCCCACCCCCCTGGGGGCTCGCCGCCGGCCGAGGTCCCGACCACCACGAAGTCGCAGTGGAGCCCCGGCCTCTCGCCCGCCGCCCCGCGGAGCACCTGGGCGCCGGGGCAGCGCTCGAGGGCGCCCTCCACCGCTGCGAGCACCCCCGCCTCGCCGATGACGAGGGAGGGGAGGAAGGCAGTGACCATCGAGGCCTCCTATAGATGGGGTCGGAATCCATGGGATCGGAGGATCGCGCCGCGTCGCCGAGACATCGGCGATGCCTCGGCGATGCATCGGCGATGCACCGGCGATGCATCCTCGACGTCGGCGATGCATTGGCGACGCCGACATGGAGCAAGCCGGGCCCTACATCAAGCCGCATCGGCGATGCATCGGCGATGCGGCGCGATCCTCCGACCCCATCTGCTCCGACCCCACCTGGGAGGCCCAGAGACCAGGACCCAGACCCCCTCGGGTGCTGAGCATCGACGGCCAGCCGGGGGGGGAGAGATGAGAAGGATACAGGGCCTTCTCAGAAGGCGGCGGGACTCCGCAGAAGTCCCCACTGGGGCCCTCTGAGAAGTCTGGTCCGTGTCTTCGGGGAAGGCTCCGAGAAAACTTCTCGGAAGGCCGGGAGACTTCGGGGCCGCCTGAGAAGGCCTTCTCCTTCTCACGCCCCCCCCCTCGCTCGCAGCCCGAGCCTTCTGAGAGGGCCTTCTCCTTCTCACTTCTCCCCCATCGCTCGCCGCCGGGAGAGCGAGAGCACG